GGGTAAACGTACACTTTGGTTACCCATTATGATCTTGCGCATCTTGTTAAGTCATTCCGAATGTCCTTAAGAATTAATTGAATATGCTGGTAGTCTAACTTGAGGCCCTCACTTAAGGGTAGGAGCATTAATGCTTCTAGTTCACCGTGAAGTACCTCTAACCACAGATTACCTAGATCTTTCTGGGTCATAATATTAGCCGTCTTTTCTATTTTCTTTAACGGACATAATTACTAATTCCTTGTCTTTTGGCCACCGTCCAAGAGGTACAGGAAACTCCCGGTGTTTGAGATTGTGAAAACTTTTCTCCTTGAGTATCTGAGTAAGCTTGTCATGTATATCCAGCTATAGCCCGAGTTCGGCCAGTCCACGTGATAGATAACGATGTATATCCCGAACTTTGCTTTCCTCACCCGTTAGAACTTGCTATTCAGATTGCGAATAGTGACTTAAGGTCAAAAGTTAGAATTCTATCCAGCCTTTATCTTCGAGAATCCTATTACGTGTTAAACCCTATACTCCATCTTAGTCCTTCAAACTTACTCAGAATATCGACGTATTAGACCCGGCAAGTCTTTTATAAACACTCCATGTTAACACATGATGATAAATCGAAACGGCCGTCTCTATGTCCAGCTGTTGTTATCTTCACAAATCTCGAATCGAAGGTTTGGCGGAACCAATTTTACCTGCATTTGGCTCTCGTCAACGCCGATCACTGAATAAGCCGGATTTTCGTCCGCGATTTTCATGGCCAGTTTACTCGTTCTAGTGTACAGTTTAAGCACATCTGCGCCCTCCAGACTGACGGGCGCACAGAAGTTCCGATTCTTCAGAATTTTCTTAAACACGGCATGTCGGGCATCGTGGTCTTCTTTTGCCCTATTATCGATGGGAAATGGGAAGCCTGCTTCGTTTGAGTAATGTTAAAGGGCTTGAAGAAGCGAGAATATATATTACGTCCATAGAGACGGTTCCCTAGCCACCAATATCCCAGGTCTTCCGAGTTCACTAAATAGGTGCTAGAAGCCCACCTGCGAGTTTCATTAGTAACTACTAACCTGGACACGTTAGAAAAATTCAAACCCTGGGCTAGCAATTGCTAAGTCTCGGGGCGACTGGGACTTAGTTAGCCTTGGAAATGAGTGGTTATAGTTCACATCCTACCTGGATCTGTGCCGGAGGTTCATCAGGCTCTGGAGTTGTTGTCATGCGCTTTTTCGAAGATTAGTCACACTTCAAGTAAATCAGAGAGAAAACCGAACCTCGTTTTGGAGTAGCCCGTTCCTTGATGGAGGTAAACGAGTGGGAGTTTCACGGTATCTTATGAGAGAAGACTTTGGTAGGCAGGTGTAGAAGAGAAAGGGAAGTCGGGAGAAAAGATACGAGATGAGGGAAGATCTTTATTCTGGTAGATTAGTTCCTTATTATTACGCTGCAGATACTGTTAATATCGTGATAACGGGTAGTCTAGAATTCAGAGGAAGCGAAGAGCCTTTTTTAATAAGTATCTTCAAACAGCATCCGCGAGTTTCTTCTGTCATATCATCATTATAAGAAATATGAAGAGATGTCAAGATATTGAACCACTTAATACTATCTGCCAAATTTGTCCCATCTCATACAATCCCACCTGCTCCGTCAGCCGTTCTAGAGAGTCCGTACGTCACGGGAATGGAGACAGTATGCACAATCGGTGAGATTAATGAACAAATATAAGAGAAATATGATCACTATTACTGCCGTCCACATGTTTAGCTATCCGGGGCAACATAATTCCCTGTCTCTTTAGCACAATTTCTATGATCAGCCACTCTTAGACACTCTATGTTCGAGTGCGTTCGCCCATGTCCACCGATACCTGTTTAAGCAAGGTTGTCTATATCAAATATAACCGTGCTTAATCATAAGAACCCTTAGTTACTTCGCGGCAGTAGAGCGTAACTTTTCCAGATCCTTATTATCTAGACACCTTATCATCGTTTCCAGGAGCGCCCAATAGTTAACAGCCTTAAATAGTTCTTTCCTAGCACCTGATAATGATCTTAGAGTCTATTTGTATTTTTCTTCGTTGGTCCGCTTAACGATGGGCTACATTTGAGGGTCTTCTCTTTAGCCTAGGACCAAGACACAAATCGATACTGTCTACATAGTAATCTATGCCATAATGAAGTCTGTAATAGCTAAGCAAAGGTCGTTAATCTTGTCTGTGTCATTAAAGTCCTGTAGTTAGTTTAGAATGATATTGTACGCTTTACCAATGGTCGTGGGTAGAGCTATCTTTGGGCCTTTAAAGAGAATAAAAGGTACGAGAAGAGTAGATTAGATATATTTGTAGCGTGTAGCTTAAGAGAGACGGAAGGTAATGGCTTAGTTTATGAAGTCAGTGATAAAATAAGTGAAGTCAGCCGCATTTATATATATAGCACTAAAAAAGATAATAGTGTATCTATGTGGTAGATCTAGGAGACGTGTTTAATTAGGGGCGCAATTTTGGCCAACATTGTCACTCTGAAATAAGTGCTCACATAGAATAGGTAAATTGAATGGTCGGTGAGGAAAGAATGAGTGAGCATTATTACTGAGATTGTCATCTAAGGTAAGTGGTCCCGGGACGCGCGCACATATCTTATTAATGGACTTTATAAGGTTATAGAGTCTGTACCCAAATTTGCCTTTTCATAAGCCAGAGGTTAAGCAGTTTATCTAGAGAAAGGCCCGAATATAGGGATACACAGTATTAGGGGAATATTATATATTAACTTATTGCTAATCTAACGGGTTTACTTTCATGAATTCTTTTAATCTATATCACTTCGCATAATCGCTTCTTATCTATGCACTGGAGAAGATCATAGAAAAAGGTGCCATAAATCTCCTTTAATGATCAGGGCTCTCTTTGTTTGCTATATATCACTGTCACACATCAAGTTAAAGGTTCAAAATTTGTCCCACTTTTGACCTAACTGATAATAAGTCCTACCACACATTAATCAAAGATATGGTTCTGATGCCGAGCCGGTCTAAGGCAGACAAGGAGTTAAACCGGAGACGCCTAGAGAATGAGGCCAGGGCTAGGGCCAGGGCCAGGGCCAGGGCCAGGGAGCAAGAAAGGGCAGAGAGGAGAGAGAAGGCACGCTGCCAGAAGAGAGTCGAGGATTTAAAAGTGAAAGAGTGACTGGCCGCTATACCTTCACGCTAGAATCACAGGTGAGCGCGATCATTTAACCTTTTCTGAAGCTTCTTCGAGTGCCTGATTTCAATCCCTAGAGAGACCAAGCTTCCGGACATTCTTCCTATCATCAACCTTATGACTTTTCGGTGGTTAAATCAGTAGTGGAGAAACCTAAATAGTCGCAAATTTGTTCGAAAGCACCGTCATTCCCTGGCATTTTTCCTAGCTTCACTTAGGCCATGGGACTCGTAGTTAAGTGAAGATTATCGATTGACTTTACCAGCAGGGTTCTATACTGGCTATTATCACTCTTTAGGAGTACCTTAAAGCTATTATTGTCACTATCTATAAGGAAATTAATGGGCTCTTTATAAGAAGGGAAGTCGCCTTTCTACACGCGATACATATCAATAAGTAAAGTATAGCCTGCGTAATATAGTTAAATTATGGCGCTATTCTGACAGACCAGCAAAAGATCCGGCGAATTAAGGTGTGACTTATATTTGACAGTGAATTCTTAGATAAATGACGCTAGCTAGTTATATGGCGGATATAAGGTAAGAGGGCGCTAAGAATGGAGAAGCGTGATGAGCTCCGGGAATTTCTAGAGATATGCTTCGGTGGTGAACTAGCCTATCATTTTAGTACTAGTATTAAGTGCTTCCTCTAAGTGACTATTATTGTGTTAAAAGAAAATGGTGTAAAAGACTAACTGGTGGAAGGTGTACTGAAGAGAGGAGGGTCACTTTATTCTAAGAAGCGGTTTGTTAGGTAGTTCTTCTATAGAAGTAATGGTCACTCCAGGCTCCTAGCTATTATGGGGAGAAATCTTTATTCTGAAGGCCATCTTGGCTTTATCAGTCTTGACTATCGTGATAACGTGCTTTCAGGGATACTAGCTAATGTTGATTGAAAGGAAGGGGGGAACTGATGGCATTTTAAAGATCTTAGGAGGCTAGAGATTCAGAACCTTTGGATGACGATTCAATAAATTCCACGTTGAACTTCGGTGAGTTTTTAGCTGCCATTTTAACAAGGGGGTGCAATTGAAAGCTCGAATAAGTAGGGATGTGTTTCCACGTGGCCAAGGCGTATGCCAGTTTCTCCTTTTAATGGTTGCATTGGCCAGCTACAAGGAGAAGACGCGGTGCCGTCAGTGTCAAGGAAGAGCGGAAGATCCTTCTGCTATCAACCAACCTTTGACTTAGGTCCTTGGCCGGCATCAGGGTCAACGTTGATCTTGACAGTGTATGCCACAAAAACAGCGATTGATGTTGTAGAGAATTGGATCTATGGCATAGCAGTGAAGATCGCAAGGTCTTGTCCTGACATATCTTCAACTTTCCCGACACGTCCTTAGAAAGCCCCAGTATAATCCCTTTCTCTGGTTTGTTCTTCAATTGGTTGAACCCTCAGGCTCTCAAGTCATCGTGTGTGCTATTTCCATCACCGATGCAGCTATCGTGGAGACTGGTCACCACTGCGCTGTTGTGCATTCGTTGTATGCACCCTTGGAGGCTTCCCACTATAGTCATAGATGTTGGGGTTGAATAGGAGACCGAGGAAGGCGCCGCTGATAGGTCGCTCGCTGGGCTGGTCGATTTCTGCAACTTGACTTCTGACCGCTCCAAAATTGACAACGCAATGCGTTTGGCAACAGTATCACGCCAAAACTTACGGCTGGATCCGCAACGTGTGAAGATCATCGGCTGTCTTTACCAGGTTCGAGCCCCAGTTCGGTGGACAAATCTTCAACGACTCGCATGGCGCTGAAATTGTTAGCTTGAATGGCGCCTAATTCGGGGGCGTTCTCATCTCGCATACCTCTTTCTGTCCAATTGGCTCCGCTTGCTCTTCAACAACATGTGAATGACACCATAAAAGGAGAGGCGCTGCTCAAATTGGTCCTTAGGTTCATCGCATTCTTGCTCTACAAGCTCGTAAGCTGCTTCATTTTCCCGAAGCCGAGAAAGGGTAGCCCATCCCCATTCCCATTCAGGAGGCGCATAGATGATTGCTGGCTTATAAGTAGTGGAGCGGCCGTGAAGATCATTCAACCAGCCTAAGGTCAGCCTTGGCCTGGCATTCAAAGGGCCAAGGAGCTGGTCAGCAAGCTGTGTGCACATCGAGACGAAGGTATCTTCATCTTCTCACGGCCCATGTCTGTCTTTGTCCTGAGAAACGGTAAGCTTCATCAATGCAAGAAAACAATCAAGCCATGAGTTGTGCCATCCAACATTCAAGGGTTGGTCGTAGAACAGCGTTGGGTGGGAGAAACCAAACCTGTCTCCTTGACTCTGCTCCGTGCCGTGGAAGTCGACCAGTCTTTTTACTTGCCCCTCAAATTGAACTTGTTGACTAGGTAGAAACTGGGTGATACTGAAAAAGCACACCGTGTCTTTCCCATCTTGATAGCTGCCAGCTCCAACAGGTTTTGGCACCAAAACACCCGCAATGCTAGGGGCGCGGACTGTGACCTCTCTGAGAGCATCATACTCCGCATCCCTAAATTCTTGAGCTCGCTCACCCTTCCATTCCCTGAAACCCAATTTTTTCAACTTTTTCTCTGTGTCTTGTCCCACCAGACGGGAGAAGACATCCTTAACCCCTGAATGCGGACTCCTCACCCGAACCCATCCTCGCTGAGGAAACATACCCCAGACACGAATCACTGTCTCATCTGGAGAATAGAACTGAGTAACGTAATCCTTCGTGGCGAATTGAGCTTCTTCCGTGGAAGAACTAGCCTCACCGGCGCGGCGAGCCTTAAATGTGATCGCTGGATCACGTAGGCGCGGTAGGTGTGTAATGCTCTTGCGACAAAGTTCAATTGAGCAAAGCTCATGGGTACCGATTAAACCCACTGGTAGCTTGCTCGAACCTGGCTGAGAATCCCGCCCACAAGTCGTGTGAAACCATTGATTACATTCGCCATGTGTCACAGTGGCTCCAGTCCGACCACAGACACCACAAGTTTCTTGGGCGTCAGGACGGTATATTGCCATGCGACCGATCGGAATGGCCTGCGGAAATATTGTTACGGTGTCTGCGGTGCTGAGGATGATATGGTAAGGTGGTTGGGACGTAGATGGTAAGATACCACATTCTAAAGACTCCGACCCTCTTTTGCCGGTCCCAACATCCTCATACTGAATGTTAAGGATTCCGATCTGCTTGATTTCAATTATGCGATCTGTTCCGTCCTGATGGCTGATCAAGATGTTTTTGACTTTTATAGGTCGCACATCTCGCACACCTCGCACAAATAATATGTTCTGGTCCACTAATGATAGTGTGAGACAGTGTTCGGGAAAATATCCGGCCATTATCGGTAGCACTTCGCCGGGTGGTTCCAAGTAGCGAGCTTCAACTGATCCTGCTAAGTCCATAACTAAAGAGGGCGAATATGGAGAGGGACTATCAGAAAGTGAACGGTAGAAAGAGGTTGCAAAGGATTCTTATTCTCTATTAATGCGTTCCAGACGTCGGCTAGACTATATAGATAACTAGGGAGCTGTCTAAGGTCAAGGAATGAATCTCTGGTGGCTGGTTTACAGCCTAGCTTTTGATGCAGGGACGTGAAGGTTTAGTAATCTTGTTTATCAGGCCAAGCCTGTTCTCCTGACCTAATTTACTACGACCCCTAATGATCACTACTCTAAGTCTATTCGTAACGTTGATTTCCTGCCTGAAAAATCCACTAAATATGAGTCCTTCGAAGGGTAAGATAATGAAATTCACAAAGTCATAGTGTTGACAAACTAAGCATGTGAGCAGCGCCTGTGAGACTTATAAATAACATAAAAGAAAGGTATATCGCTTGATCCTCTTAATAAGTTTTACATCTAATAGTGAGCTAGTGTGAGAAGAAGTGGCCATGTAATTAATGCAAAAGCGCGGGACGAGAATGTAAAGAGTAACTTAAGAAAGACCTCAGAGGGAAGGATGCTCATTAAGAAGTGACGAAGAGAGCAAAACGGATGTCTCAGTTTATGGACATATACTAGCGTCTAAAGAGTCCAAAGTTTAAGGATCTTATGACGGTCCTCCACAATAAACCTACATATAATAATATTAATTAGGTTCTCAATAATATAAATAAGTTATAAAGATTGGCCGCGAGACAATATGAAATGTTCTGACATAATGACCAATAAATAATGTTGCCTGGCTACTAGCCTGACCGCTATGGGCATGATTTCCAGATAACCATTCCGCATAGGCACCCACATATGAGTATGGGAGAGGATATAAAGCTGCGAGTGAACCACCATGTGGAAAAAAAGAGTGATAAGCGTACTAGCATAAATGTTGGTAGGCAAAGGATTAGTATTTAGGCGCTTACACTCCCGTCCATGGCGAAAAATGTTGTCAGTTCTTCATATCTTATCTCTCCTTATTCTTATAAATACATTTAAAAGAATAATCTATAAAGGATATCTGCATCAGAAGGATCGAAGCTTAGAATGTTAATGGCTATCTTTATGTATAATGGTGAGGATCTAGGGAATAAAGACAACCTTTAATGAGAAGGCATTCGGTGAAATACTTTTATATCCGTGCTATATAGCTAATTATAGAGCTATTATCGAATTCAAAAAAGGACTTCTCTTGTGTATATAGAGATTAGTTTAAGGATTGTGATAACGTAAATACCGGAGCGTAGTGAGCTAGTAAGAGGGTTAATTCGTGCTTTGAAGGATTTTTCATTGGGGGGGCATTGCTAAACTTGGGCATTCTGTAGACGGTTAATAATGAAGATATTTAGGAGGGCCGATGAAGACTAAGAGATTGTTCTGGCGAGTGACGTCTTTTATGTGTTCACACTGACTTGAGAAGGCAGAATACATAATAAATATGATGGGTTAAGACTTTTGTCTGCCCGTTGACAAAAGTAAATATAATGTGCACCGCTGTCGAGGGTCACGAGCGCCACCTCAGCATTTCCCTGCGCCCAAGACGAACTTCAAAACCTGACTGATGGGACAGTTGTGACGTATTTAACAGTATCCAGGAGATTCTGATATCCCATTATACGGAACTTATGTTTCTTCCAGGCCAGTCGGCGAAGAGATAAAGATACCTTTTGTGAGCTGATGTCTGTCTCTTTATGCTAGTGCCTCTTTCAATTGAGAAGACCAAAGTTCACGATATATCCCAGCTTATGCCATTAACTCTGAGTCCCCGTGGAAGGAAAAAGAACGATAACCACACTGGCCAAGACATTAGTCAGAAAAGACTTAGCATTTCGACGTCGACGAACAGCTCTGTAGAGATGTGAATCCAACCTATTTCTTTATCTTCGAAAGTTTTCAGTATAGTTATCCTATGTCTTCACTTAGCACAATGTGCGACTTCTTTAGTTCTTCGCAGTTAAAGGTGATCTCTGTTTTGTGATCCCCACTAAGGATATAAAGTCACCTATATTTATATGTTAAAACCTATCTGCGGAGAACACCAGTATAATCGTTATTATTAAGGCGCAAACTAATTAATGCTCCGATGGAAACTAGTGGTAACATAGCAAAGTATTCTCTTATCTCACCCTTATTACGCCGGTTAATGGCAAAGTATAAGAGCCTTTTCTTTAACTCGGCTAATGCGTTAATATACTCCTTCGGAATGCGTGTACTATTCATGCTACTAAGACAGTACAGCATAAGGACCGCCTCCTCAAGAGATATCACGGGCATTCTAAGCCTTCTAAGCCGTTGAGAATAATAAACAGCATTCGTCTATAATTAAAAGTGTGTAAGCCATTACTTATCACAAATCTTAATCACCGGCAGCTTCGAAGATAGAAAGGAAGTGATAGTTAACAGAAGTTAGTTCGGGAGTTAGTTTAAAAGCTTGAATATAATGTTATCTTAGGTTTCTATTCACTGCCCAGGAGTTAGGTTATTCATTGCAGTAAATGTTATCACTTAATTAGACCTTATGCTGTACTCCCCTAGAATTTGTTCGCGGCTAGGGCTAGGGCTAAGCCTAATAAATGACACGTTACTAATTAGGTCTTTATTAAGCCGCAGTAACTTAAAGATCCTGGACGCTCCTAGTAAGCTATTACTAGCTAAGAGTTAAATCTTTATAAGTGAGTAAGGAAGTGATATCTTAAAGATCTAACTAATCGTGCGGCATAATATCTTTTATTAATTAAATCTCTATTATAGCCTAAAGATAATAAAGGCTAAGACAATTAAAAAGATTAACTAACTTAAATCATAGGATAATATAAGGTAAATATAACGTCGTTCTTATCTTATAATTAATAATAATGTCCTAGCCTAACCACTCTAAAAAAGATAATAAAGAGAGATAGAAAGGGTGAAGAGAAGTGAGCTAATAAATGTAGTCTATCTATATAGGTGATTTATTAGTGCCATTTAAGTAAGTCATTAAAGAGGAACCCTTATAATACTAATGATAAGACTAACGAGAATATGAGTAGGCTAAAAGCGATAAAGGATAAAAAAATTGTTATGCCTTAAACTATTGTCTAGTTATACTTAATATAGAAAGTTAAATGTTCACACTTTAGGTAAGTATATGCCTTAGTAGCCTATATAATCTGTTAGATTGTTATTTAACGGTGAAGGGAAATGCACTTATATCCAGAAAATAAAGGGAAAAAAGACACACGCGCGTAACAATGTGAACAGTATAGGGCGGAGCCTAATAGATAATGATGGTGAGGGTAATGCTAATAAGTATTTAGTAAGAGGCATTCAAAAAACAAAGGATAGGGGCGGCGCGCTTTAGCTGTAACTTAGTGTAAGCTGTCACGAGGAATAGTATGGTGATAAATATGTTAATCACGCTGTAAAGCCACGCGGGATCTTTCGTTGGAGCTGTCATGGTGGTTGAGCTGTGGGTGAGCAATAGAATGAATAAATAGAGCAGAGGAGACAAGGTAACCAGGTAACGGGTGGACATGCAGGAGAAGGGATCTTTATCTGCTGGGTGTCTAGAGGAATCTTAAGAAATCGAAGAGCTCGTTCCGATGTCGTTCCCAGGCCAGGCCATCTCAAACGAAGATGGCACCCTAATTTCACTACTAATCATGGTCAACAATCTAGGGCCGGCTCATAATCTTGAACGACAGAGAACTCCATGGAGTCACATGGGTGTGATCATCTTAGGCTCAGTGGTGAGGTGTTCAGGTGAACGCGGGCAACAGCCGCCAAGATGAAAGTGTCCCTAATTTCTAACGACGTCTCTTGGACTTCTACCTTGAGTAAACATGGGTAACCTTCAAAGTGACGAAGTAGATCCAGATATCTTGAAAACAATCCTAGAACTCGGGAAGAAACTTCAGAATTGTAACAATACGGAAATCAAAACCCTTGGGGATCTCGTAACCAATCTCACACGGGCTCCTTCTACGCTTCTCAAAGCGCCTCCAAAACTTCTGAGAATTTTCCAAGCAGGGAGCGAAAGGCAAACTACGAACTCCAGTGAGGATGTCAGACCGTGGTTGGAAACGATAAAGCATCACAATCAGACCCTCTCTTTGAACCAAGTCGATATAATAGCGCCGATGCTACGAGAATGGAGACTGAGTGAGCAACAAACTAAGTCAAGACTGAGCGATGCTTCCCAATGGATTCAGGACCCCTCTCTTTTCTGGGGCAAGGCACCGAAGACCAGTGACGGGAGCAGCATAGAAGCTGTTATAAATTGTCTGCAGTACGACAAAGACTACCTTCAAAAAGACAACACACTGCTTAGACTACGTCACCGAGTGCTAAGGGAGATTGTTTGTCTGAACACAACGTATGAAAAAGTACGCACCAAGAGTCGGTCGGGGGGCATCAGACTTGTTACGGATAAGATTGCCACCCAGAAAAATATCGATGAACACGAGCGCCAATCGCTGTACCATGAAGTGAAGAGATGCACCACTGCAGGACGTAGATGGCTTTTGCTAGGGCGCGGAGTTTCACTTGGGATTCATAAAAATGTGGTTTGGTAAGCGATTTGTCTCTCTCATTTGGGATACCAAGATCATCGCTTATCAGTGCATAGTTTCGAGAGAAGTTCTATAACCGAGGTTGAACTTGACGCTGCACGACAGTACTGTGGGCAGCTTAAGGTGTTTACAGACAATATCCTTTCAACCGCCTGGAGCGCTATTGTCAAGTGGTTTGTGCAGAGTAAGCGGATAAGCTATCACCTTACTAGCAACACTAATGCTTCTCCCATAGATTTGTATGACCACATTGTATGCGACAGCATTTTTTTGCGGCTCCAACAAGACTTTAGGGACGAAAGACGGCGTTCCAAAAAGAAGGCCACTACGGCAAAGACAACACCTACCTCAAGTAGCCTAGATCCAGACAGAGAAACGGGTGGTACAAGTCAACTCAGCGATTCAGAAGCATCCCAGAATGGGCATAACACTTCCTCTCAGACAGACAATCAACATGTGTTGGAAACCGAACTCAATTCCCTCAATTTACCGGTCGATCGAACTGCGACTGGCATTCTCCCATTTTATATGCATGCGAAACCAGCATCGAGACTGAACACCGGCATTCATGAACAAAACGACGTCATGGGCACTTTTGGTGATGTCTCCGAGATGCATAATACAACACCAAGTGGGCATGAAAACACCGAACATCAAGAGAGGTCTCACTCGGATGTCACATCGAACGCGAGCCACATGATGACGTCCACCGAGTCGGAGAAACAGATGGACGAGACCGCCGTGGAGGTTATCGAAGCACCTGGACCCTTTTATTTGGGCGATCATGTGGGCGGTCGAGATGAACATGGGCCGACCAGGCAGGAGCTCATGGCAGATGAATCCTGCCCCGGAAACGACGCCGCCGGGATGCTGCTGGACTCTGAAGATGAATACAGAATCTTGGACATATCTTTGTCTCAAAATGCCTATCTAGAATCGCCCAATGTCCCCCCGGGACACTTTGCAGACAACATAGCAGAGACATCTGTCGACAATACTACCCTACCAGTGCGGCCGGATGAGGTCGATTTTGGCCCGCCATTAGAAATTAACCTCACACCAAGTGACATCACGAAGTTTATGCTTCCTGTCCAAGCTGACAATGGCACTACGATGGGTTTTGATTCCAATCCTTTCGAACAGGCAAACACAGACTTCATGGAATTCTTTGATCAACCGAACCTCCTAGGCTTTCTGGATAATGACTACACAAATACCAATGAAGACGATGTTGGATCTACTTTTCCCGACGCTCGACTCGGCTCCTCCTTTCATACCGCATGAGGACAATCGTCAGACCACCAGGCTTTGGATCGATCGTACCCTTTCCGTATGCTGTAAGGATATCTCCTTCTTGCGGAACTTGACTTTTGTGGATCTCCTGGAGTTCTGATAGTACCACAGTATTCTCCTTACTCACTGGCTTCCCTGATAATTGTGATCGGATTGGGCTTTGTGGATGAGTCTCGAGCGACTTGGTGGCGTTTGTGGGCTGATGTGCGATTTTATCGATCTGTTCTTTAGGCGGTGTCAAAACTCTATCTGGTAGCCCAGCGAGATCAGGCAGAACGATGGCAACCAGCGTTTGGCCCGGCTCCGCTCGCAACGGCCTGGAGATATGAAGATATTCTATGTGTCGGTCCCACTCTATATCCACGCCATTCTCACGTTCCTGTAGAGCGATTGCGACAAACTATGTCCACCGTTAGTAGTCTGGGCCTAATGTGAAATTTCTTGACATACAACTGTTTTGTTATAGATTCGAACAACATTTTGCCGTTCGTCCGTTAACAGCTCTTCGCGATTCCTGAAGTCCAATCGCAAGATATGGCTGTATTCTGGCACTGGTACCATCTCAGATACGTGTAAGTGGACTAGGCTTGCCGCATTTCGTAAGGCGTTTGTAGATTGAATACCCGACATCTTGCAGTGGTCCTTGAAAAAAATTCAGAGTGAGGTTTACAAAGGACGTGGCCAGGTTTTTGTACTCCAATACTCTGTCTCACCACGATCTATGCTTTGTGCTATGTCGCCGGCAGGTGGGCAAAGAGCTATGACTCCAGGGCTCTAATGAGATTTTGATTGTTCGACCCTAAAAATCGACGTTGATCCGGACAACGATGCGACGTGGACGACCGCGATTCGTTCGACTCAAGGCATCTAGCATCGGCAAACCTTCCCAACGTCGACATTGACCACAAAAATACCTTGTCGAAACACGTGACTTGGTGTTGGCGGCGTAAAGAGAACTAGATTGGCTAACTACAACCGAAGGGGGCTGGCCTCTACATATACGGAAGAGCATGTCAGCCAATGTAGTAGTCGGAAATAAGTATCTCCGATTCCTCACACTAAAACCAATTTCCTATCAAGACATCACTATGTGATCAAGTGCCTGATACAGACTGCTAGCTAGGTATGGCCCAACTCCTTGTCAGTGACGAAGAAGTAACAACGAGAGGAGATCGCAGCCGTGAAACCGACTGTTTGTTCCTCGTGCATTATCACTTTCCAAAGGAAAAGAGTAACAGGAAAGGGACTTTGTTAGACACTGAGTTGCGGAGTACTCCGTGACGCAGGTCTTTACAAACTACAATCCACTAGCCTATAGGACTATTGCCTATAGACGCTCACGCTCATTTTACTCACCCTAGACGCTCATTCTATATATTGCGTCAAGGCGCATTCATTGACAATATATAGGCTACCTATTGAGGCGCTTATCTCACCCAAGGATAGGTCGGATGAGACAATACCTGCGGCCTTCTATGCAACGGCGAGAAGGACCTCAATCGGACGGAGAATTCTCACTCCTATTAGCTATATAAACAGATAGAACTCGACCTCATGGTCCTCGAGGTCAGACTCGACAATATATCCTGTTTAGCTCATTAATATAGCCTATTCCTGCGTGACGGACGACAGACTTTGATGAAGGAATGTATTCTCTGAAACTGAACATTCGTATATCGCTTCACCTGGATATGATCATAAGATCTTGCCATAGGACCAGCAATTATTGGGTGTTCGAAACAGCATGTCAGATGATCAGAAGCATGCACTATTAATCATAAGTAATGGCTTTAGGGAGGAAGACCAACACAATACCTATTATTTCTCCTTTCGGTTGGGGAAATTCATCGAACTGCCCGTTTTTGGATCTATTTGGCTCATAAAGCTCGTATTGCTCGAGTCAGAAGAGGGAGATCTCCCTACTCCATTTTGAGCTGCAGGTTTATTGCTACCCGGAGAAGACGACGTATTCTCTTTAGGCGCTTTGGCTGAATCGTCTCTTGGGTTTTCTGACATGATAAGTCAAGACTTGTGGGTGTCGATAACCAGCAGTGTGTTCCTCGAAGAGAAGTCCAGCAAACGAAAGAAGAGACGAGAAGGCCAGCCGGTAGGGTATTGTCAAAGATCTAAGGGTGAGTTGGCGTGTTCAGTGTAACAAATTTGAATTTCGATGCTTCAGCCGATGATATTAAGCAAAGTCTTGAGGTCAGTCAACCTGGAGAAATCAAGCATTCTTATACCTGGAGACGGGCATCGGAGTGTACAGAGAACCCTCCTTGTTGGTGCTCATCATCGATCCATGATACGCGGGCAACTCGGCTTCAGGGGTTCTGACCAACAACTCATATGATCCGCTGGAACCGTTGTCCGCATTCGCTAACTAAGCTCAGCTTCACACTCGAGGTTTTGGCTACTTTGCGCGTCGATCAAGATCGAAGGTATCTCAGAACGACCAGCGCAGACCCTTGTCGAAGACCATCGCTGCAACACCATCGCAACCTGGCTCTTCATACTGCAGGATTATGTCAAGAAGAGAGGTTGCAGAGCAGTATGCGACCTATATTGACAGGTCATAGTGTCCTTGGAAACTCAGACTGAGACATTATCGTCTAGGTAAAGGATCGAGGGTGCCTCTTAGCCTGCTTTGTGGCGCAAAGTATTTCAAGGGTTTGCATGTTTGACCCATATTCAAGCATGTACGTACCTTCTGATGTATCCGGAGCTAATACTGCCGGTGACGACCTTCTTATGCGAAGAGCTATCAGAGAATACCTGCAGGGAGCGGGTTTAACGCTTGCAACCAAATCATGACTCAGACCAATACAGTGAGAGGATATGATGTTGGGAGCACTTGAGTGAGTAGCCGTGGATTTCAGCCTCCGCTGGTGCAATGAGATGAGACTCAAGGCTGTAAACCGGGAAAATTGCCAGGATACGGGCAATTGTAGTAGATAGATCGGTCTCGTCACTTGCAGGCTGCAAGATATCAAAGCGGATGTTGCCTAGTGGAGCAGAATCCCTCGTGCCAAGATTTCCCTTGCCACATTATTCAAGTCTCCCTCCTAGTGTCAAGTCTTAAGTGCTTAAGTCATTATCTCCTCGAAGCACATAAAACTCTCCCTATTATGTCCTCAGTACTGTACGTCTGCCAATCAGAATGAATCATCCTACTGGCTTGAATTCGAGTCTGCCTAGATGGCGGGTACTACAGGATTGAATGCAACTTCACAGAAATTCATGCCCAACCTGCGCTGACGGAACTCCCCGCATTTGTCGCCGTAGAACCCCATCGCATGCCAACTTTTTTCGCAGCCACATCATTCACCCGATCCTCTAGTACTTCGAATGCCTGTTCAAATTTGATGTTCTAGCAGACTGTACAGTTGTTGCTAGCTTTTATCCTCTCAACTGGTGCAGAAGTGACAATCATACACAGAGTTCCCCTCCAGGCGCACGAGACCACGCGTTTCCGTCCCTGAAATTCCTGATCTACACCACCAAGAAAGTCCTGTTTATAACCAGTTATTCCCAATTCGATGGTTAGTACTTGTCCCATACTTCCAACTACTACTGACACTCTTCAGCCATTTCAAATCGAACCCCTAGATACACCCGTGAATTTCGATGAGGCCCTCGCTTCTCCTCAATGGGTCACAGGAGCAGGTCAGAAGATATTCTGGTCTAAGTGCGCGGTCACGGTTTATGAGAAGGGCGATAGGACCACACCTACAGAACGCTACAATGTGTGCACCGGGAAAGGAACAGTGGAAAGAGGAATTGAACTTTGGCTGACAGGGCAGGGTGGAAGGGTTAAGAAATGATCGAGTGCTTTACGTTGGTGGCAGGCATATGGATCAGAAGCGAGATATTCGCTATTCATACAGTCTGTTCTTTATCTCAGTTCCTTCCATAGGTGCCAGAGAAAGAAGGAAGGTTGCGCCATCCGAAGCCGCTTGCGAAATCAACATTAAGACACAGTCTGTACAGTCGTATCCTTGCTTCACTTCATCCTGATAATCAGGATTTGCTGTAATTGCGTTAAGTGTCTCTGGTCCGAAGATGGGGGAAATTTTCCCTGGTTGACACCCCTGCAATGTGATGATGGGATTCGGTAGGACTTTGGCACCGCCAGGGAAATAAACGTAGCGAAGACCTTGGTGAGTTTCCAAATGAACACCATACAACTCCATAGCAAGATGCTCAACCTTGTTAACCATGACCTCTATGGACATGATGACTCTTGGCTTTTGGGACATGATAGTCGCGTTCGGAAAGGTCATCGAGATGAGGGCTATCAAAGCACCCCTGTTTCCTGGATCAGGAGCCCTTTTGATTCCATTCGAGAGATACAACGGGAAGAGACGTGTGGCCTTTGCGACAGGCGCATTCACCAATATATGGTCAGAAGAGTCAAGAGATAGACAGTCTGGCGCTAGGTCCTAAGCATTCAGCTCATTCGCAGGAGAAGGCTCGCCTGTTTCACTCAGTGTCGTGTTTAGGCTGTGCACAAGGTTATCATTATCTGTGGTGCCTAGCTAAGTCAGAATGAGGGTAAGATTTTCAACTGAATACTCACAAGGGCTTCGGTGTCGCACCATGACACTGCTTACTGTCTCGTTGATCTTCTTTTGGGTCTGAGATGGGATTCGTACCGACAATTCTCTTGCCATTGTTCGTCGGTCCTGTATCGACGACCTTAAAAGGTCGGCGAGAACACGGCGAAAATCTGCTTTACCATGAAAAGTCATCGAGTTTTCTGCACTGTTCTTCACAAGGACATAGGCAAGCCAGGTGGCCGGCCCCTCTGTGAGGAATATCTCATCATCAGAGTCCTTTGGAGCAGACTGAGCATCGGTCAGTGACTTGTGCCATCCTCTAGGCAAACGTTGGCAGTCATTGAGTCGGGAAAGGAATAGGGAAATCGGGTCCGATGTCATCAGTGCGAATAATCAGGTGGGAGGACTTCGAAGGAACGGATCTACTTAAGGGATTAAGAATTATGTGTGCTCAAGAATTTAATAAGTTAAGTTATTAAGTCCTCAACGTTTGAGGACCTAAGGACTTAAGGACTCGGGTACTGAGGGGGAGACAAAGTCGTGTCTGCAGGCAATTGGCTCAAAATTTGGAGTCGCGTGCATGTAACGCGCGTATGCGAGATAGGTCCCCAGATTGGGCAACGGTAGATTGCAGCGATTAAAATAGCATTGAGCTCGCTATGCTGATCCGACAGCGCTGGCCAAGGAGTATGATTGAATACTTTATATTCAGAAGATCACGACAATGCATGACCTTGACTATTCAGCACAAAGGCGCTGTCATCTCCAGCCTGGATTGATCAAACTGCGTGGATTAAGGAACAATTCAAATCTCTCAGACTGACCTGTCAAATTATCAGGAAAGAGTACTTGGTATGTTGTTCCCGATATGACGATAGGTAGCTAATGCCTTGCAGCTCCGCCCGTGGAAGCTTCTTTCTCTCTGTCTCTAGGACCGGGTCCGACAGAAGATAACATGGATCCTCCTACCTTCGGCAAGATTCGATACTCCTCCCAGACCTCCTTTTTTGCCATGAATGAAGTTGCCATTTTCGTTTATGGTCGAGAGGGAAAACGATTTCTCGCATCGCAAGGGTTCAATGCTTGTCATGGAGTCTATCTAGTCTCCACAATAGCCACTGTAGCCGCACATATACCTCCAAATCCTAGTCTTGAATCGAAAGATCCTCAAGCTGGTGACAAGAACCTAGTCCTGAAAATGCAACAATTCGCTCAAGCATACCTGCAGAATCGACAATTTTTTCAAAACTATAAAGTCGCACTCCTATACGCGAGGTTTGATGGTAAGGTTGCCTTACCGGACCAGAAAGCGTTCATTGAACAGTGTTTGCGGAGGTTCAAAGTTGATTTCCCAATTCAGGATTATCATGTAAAGTTGCCTGGCGAACCTCGAGGTGAAGAACATGGTACCGCATTTGTGGATGGTAGAGCTACGAATGGTGCTGTTCTCTATGCTGAGGATAAGCCTATTCTGAGAGTCTACAACTCTCCTTCACAGAAAGTCGACCGACTTTCACATCCCCAAGTTGTGAGCTATTCGAATGCTGTATTTCCGAGGCAAGCTACTTCCGAACTCAGAACAAGCCTTCCTCAAGACGTTCGTTACACGAACCCAATATTTCCGAGACCAGATACCTCTGAGTCTACAGCAAACCTCTCGAACGAGACTCGTGTCTCGAATTCTGTCCCTGCACCAGAAGTCATTTCGAAGCTGGTTGCAGGGACCTCTGGGAAGGAAAAGGCGGAAACAAAGAAACTCAAATACGTCAAGTCAAGCATTGTGAATATGAAAAAGGGAGACCGAGAAGTCGAATTGAAAACTGGCAAGGTTTTGATCCCGGCAGAGCATTGGAAGAAAGCAAGTGTGAATAACAAGCAATTTTGGGTTTGCGAGAAGTATTTGCTGTACACTGACCTTTGACCCCAATAAATGTGGCTATTGTGGCCACTCCGTACGGAGTACGGATATCTAGGTTTTCAATCCGCATGAGTAAATACGCCCAAGCATTTTGAGTAGACAAGTTGGAGTCGAAAGCTTAGTTATTATTGGCACAGCCCTTTGAAAGAGGCTTCAAATAATTGTTGTAGTATGAGTGGAGACTCTAAGTACGAAACACTCCTCTTGGAGGTTTGTAAATTCTGGAGTATGAATTGTAAGGTGTAAAGCGAGCTCTAAACTCCGTCCAACTCTCAATGTGTTGTTGCCTCGTCAACCACGAAGGCCCCTAGGCTTACTCCGCATTCTTCCTGGCACCAGCGCACTTGCTTAAAAGGTCGCAGTTAGCCCATCAATTTATTATCTTCCATCAACACTGACATCGGGATCGAAAGCTCTGTCGTACCAAACTCATTTCTCCGTTGAAATTGCCAAATATAAACCTTCAGTAACTCCGTATGCCTGATTCAGCAGGATCTCTTACCTGTGCAGCCGTCGCCAACGATTTCGACAGAGTTCAGACTCTACTCGACTTGGACACATGTGATCAACAAGCCTCGGATGATGCAATGCATGCTATGAGTGCTGCAATTAACAACAATAACTTGATGATAGTCGATCTTTTACTGCAGAAAGGATTCAAGCCTTCCGTCCGAGACTTCACCTGTGCAGTCAAAGCGTGCTCTTACCCAATACTCGCGCTTCTACTTCAGAACGGCCACGATATTAATGAAGTGATGCAAGATGACTGTCCTCCTCCGTTGGCGTAAGTCATCCCTATTATCATCATTCTTATGTTATGCTAAGGTCTCTTAGTGACGCATTATTCGATCCGGAGCTAGTTAGCTGGCTCCTCAAACATGGTGCTGATCCAAATGCTCGATGTCGATACGATGTTACGCCCTTCTCCGTCGCAGCTAGGTGTGCTTCAAGAGATGTCATTAAGTTACTACTTGAACATGGAGCCTCGACAGACATGGGTCAACCCTTACATTATGCTGTTCGAGCGAATCGTGAAGACGAGGTTGTCAAGCTTCTTCTGGAAAACGGCGCGTCACCGAATCGTGTCATGTTCGAGAATGACCTGATATCGTATAACCAGTTCCGGTGTTTAGGCATTGGAACGCCACTGGACGAGGCTATATCGCAGTCTAACGACAGACTGGTAAGACTTCTCTCGAGGTACGGGGCGGAACCGAGCACGGCTAACAAGCGTGGGCCATCGCTGTAGCTCACTGCCTTCCCCCTTAAGACGCGGTTGACAAAACTTGGTTCCAAGCCCGGTCGAAGCGCTCAACCATACTGTAGAGCCTCAGAGGTTATAATCTAGCTAGTGTACATTTACCAAGAAAACAGCCTGCTCTGGTGAAGCGCTTTTGCATGTCTATTTGCGCGATTTTTCGTGACTCCTTACTCTGTATCGCCACCGTAAGAGTATATAAGGCCACGCTGAGAGGTTGGATAGGCAGCCCGCGATATTCATTACATACCATTGTATGTCCAATACCGTCATGATACGTGTGGAAGTTATAGGAAGGAGGAGTTGAAACGTGGAATCAGTGGTCGACACTTGCTGTGCTCAGGTTCTCAGAGATGTTGCAAAACCTGAAAGGAATCTGCAGGCGGTCGCGTTCTCTTATCTGCACCCTTCCCGAGCTAAAAAATATACGGAGACAAGCAGAGAAATCTTGTGTCCACTGAGGAAATGTTCGGTATACTCTATTACCATAACCATTTCTAGAGCGCGGCGCACTTTCCTCTTTGGAATGGGAACTAGCCCGGAGTTTAGCCTACTTGCGCAGGCGACAAATTTTCACCGATATCGTCAAACTGGAAACCCAGAAGAGTGTTAAAGGACGTCTTTCCAACCCAGACCAACCTGTCTAATTCATTCTGCCTTGCGACTAGAAGCACTATCTTCTACCTCCTACTACGCTAACGCTTACCTCTCTCAACATTGATATCTCTCACTCATCACAAGCCCACGATCAGCTCAGCAAAAGTACCTGACGCCAACGTTACAAGCGAATTTCCTATACATACAAGAACGACAAGAAAGCCGGTTGAATATATACCGCAGGAGCAGCGGCAGAGCTAGGTGGATCTACCCGCCTGTTATATGAGCTTTCAGCCATTATACCTCCCGATATCTAGCCACATATTTCTTGCTAAGATTCGTGGCTGCGAAAGTGAGAGCTAGGCTGGCTTAATCTCTCGCAAGTAAACTGATTTACTGTGGAGTGTCTTTAAGGGCGCAGTCGCTCAAGACAAAATGCTGCGATAGGTAGGTATAGTATATTGCCCCAAGATCTTTGCTCTGAGCCATAAGCAGATGGAGATTAGTGCGATATCCATGATTTAACCAGTCAATATATGGTTAATGCTCATTTTTGGTGGCCGAGGAGTTTGCTGACACGGCGAATTGAAGACACCGCGCCGTGATATCTCCGAGAGGGATGCTTTCATCATCACTACTGAGTCCAGCATCTCGCTGTGAAATCCCCTGACGCAAAAGGAATGGCTGGTCGAGGAACACCTTAGGTACTCTGCCAATGCGTGCCGACGTAGATACACTGATTCCAACTCATTAACTGCTATATACATTCCCCATTATCGCTGAATAAAGGCCTTTATTATCAGACTCATCATATTGACCTGAGCAATCCTAACGACAGGTTAGCTATTACTAATGATAGGTTAGCCACTAGAACAATACCACTATGAATGAGCTACCGTCTGCGAGTCGTGACCTCCCTACAGAGCTCTATTAAATAACATCCGTTTGCCAGCGACAGAAGGCAGCCTAAAGTAACTATGGACAAGCAAGTGGCATCATGGCCCCCTACTCATTAACCTGATTCGCCCTACCGCTTTACTATCCTGTTTGACCTTATCATTAACGAAAGTGAGGATAGAGACTATGCACTTAGCAAAATCCCTTGCTAATGGGTATAAGTACGGTCGCTAACTCTTAATGTGCCCTTTCACGTCTTATCTTCTTTCTTACCCCCTAGATCTCACTCCTTAAAGGATACTAAGCGCTCTGTAATTAATTCTCTTAACTATGCCTTAAACCTAACTTTAAGAAGTTTAAGGCGCATAACTTCTTCACTCTAGTAAGACAATTTAACCTCTTATTTCACGATTTAACTCTAACTAAATTATGTTATCTCTCTTATTATTAACTTTAAAGCGTTTGTCCAAAAGGGAAAGATATAAACTATCTTAACTATTAGCGAACACTTTTAAAGAAATCATAACAGAATGTGATATTATAGAGTCACCTTAATATGTAGATAGCTTAAATAGCCTAAATAGCTCTATTGTCTTAGATAGCTCTTTTACCTTAGATAGCTTAGCAGCAGATTTTAGTATTGTCGCCACCGTCCATAATGTGATAAATCCTAATATAAGAGCGCGGAGCCTAAGGGACTTACCTTCTCTTAACTTTAAGACTGTGGGACTTCCCTTTAATGGACTTTAGAACCATGACTTAGCCTATAACTAGAGACACTATTATAACTATGAAGAGTATAAGTATTTATTAGATACTAAGGATTGGTGAATACGCCTAAAGGATTTTGTCCCGGCTAACGCTATGACTAGGTTATAGGCTAAGGAGCTTAACGCCGAGATTAAGTTAGAGAACCTTCACAGTATAACTCTGGTCAATCTTTAAGATAGGATATTAGCCTTTAACTCGTGTGCATAGAAGTGTTAAATAGAGTGCGGAGGCGCCCTTCTCTCTTATATATATACTGTTATTAGGAAAAAGGAATAGGCTAGTATAACGCTCTATTAGATTAAATGGAAAACTTACTAAACCCCGAAAAGTAAAATCAGTGATAAAGCTTAGCTTCTAGGATCCCTATAAGTAAATAAAGACCCGCATTACTAGTGTAGCCTATAATAGAGAAATGACTTAAAAGAGTAGGAATATCACTAGAATATAATGTGGGTTAAGAAGCTACGTAAAGCTTAGTGATAAATAAATCTATGGACTCTATATCTATGTGAGTATAGAATTAAAATGGAATGATTATTAGTTCGGCGTAAGGTTAGCTTAAATCCTTAAATAAGAGTCTCATAAATGATCTAATTTATCCTTATTAAGGGTATAGTATTTAGTCCTTAGACTATATAGAATTATAAAATAACTCTCGCACCAAATAAGGATCCCCTTTATTAACGTAGAACGTGACTTCAAAGGGAAATATTATTATGAGAAGGTGATAATGGTTAAGAATACAGAGTAAACCTTTAAGGAAATAATATTTATGTGGTGCATTTAAGGCGGTAATAATGAAGTTACTTAATTTATAACAATTTCTATCGCTTACGGTTATAATTCCTAGGTTCGAAAGCGAATCCAGTCTTTAGTAGTATCACTTTACCTACTCTCTAGGTATATCTTCTTAAACGGGATCACACGCTCTTACCGACCTGAGGCAGTTCTTAGTAGTGCTACCTTATTATCATTAGGACCTTATCTAAGCATGTAAAAGCTAAAACCTTTGGCGGTCCATGATGCGTAGATAGTAGCTAGGGTTCCTATCGCTACTAGCACTGTACTTATAAAGATATCTATTAGTTTAACCTGCGCATTATTAATCTTAACACTTTAATACTTAAATAGGTATAGAACTTAGTTAAAGAATCCTGTCTTATTATGATAGATATAATTAGTCATGGATTTCTCTCTAGGGATAATTCTTAGCCTGAACTGTGCAAGTGAAGTTAGCTAGTTAGGGCGAGCTACCACGCAGGGATACTACCTATAGCGGCGCGATACTAGGAGAATAGGATGTTAGGCGGATTCGCTATACCTACCTTATTAACTATTAATATAAAGCTCTAGTACTTCATTATTAGAGAACTTATAGCTCATTCCTAAATATAGGTTCACTATGTCATAAGAATTCGTGGGGTAATGAAAGTTATGTGCTAGTAATGGGCCCGCAGCCGCCTTAATTAATGAGGCATTATTCCTAAAATGTTTAAGGTTATGCCGCGGATTATTAGAAGGAGAGTATACCTTAAGATCTGGGAACAATTTTCTTTCTCTCTTATTCTTCTATGTACCCGAGTATTCACGATATCATTGTTAATTTCTTTCTGGGTAGGGCTATCACCTTATTAGTTAAAGAAGTCTCCTATTATAATCATAGCTTCACTAACCTTTGCCAGCTAGCGACATGCTTTCTTGGCTAAAGAGCTTAAGGGTAGTATTAGAGATTAGGTTAAAGTATAATTGTGACTTCATAAAGTTCCCACATTAAGTCTGCTATTAGGGTGAGTCTGATAAGGTTAAATGAATTAAATTTGATGGCGTCCATTCATAAGTTATCCTCCGCTAATTATATATGGTCATTATCTTCTTCTATATTAGGGTTTATAAACGGTTATCCTCAGGAGTTTAAGTAGCTAGATACCGTTAACATCGGGTGCTGTGTTGTGACTATGTGATATAGATAGAAGGGTAAGAGATAGAAGGAGCGTTAAGAGGTTTTTTGAGTTATCGTAAAGGAGGGGTAATCGAATTGAGTTGGATGGCTAGATGCGAAATTGGAATCGTAGCGGAGGTCATTTTATAACTAAACCTATGCGCACGACTAGATACACCATTAGTAACAATAGTACAGAATCTTAAATCGTGACTGATTAGTACTGAAGTCAGAAGATTACCTAACTTACCCTAAGTTCTTAATTAATATCTTCACGACCTTTAATTCATAAGTTAAGATTATAACTCTAACATTATTTATTAAAGAAGTGACCTAAATTTCAAGAATGTCTGTCGCTATCATAAGAGTGCTAAGCGTGCTCCTACTTAACTCTTTAGGGCTTAGCCCCGAGGGTTAAGACATTACATAACACGTCGCATTTATTTTCTTTAAGATACGGTTAGGGACCACTATAAGAGGAATTATATAAATTACGATTCATGGCAATGTTTTTTTACGGGTAGAAATGTATAACCATTCGTAGAGTCTAGTGAATATACTTACTCTTCTGTAAAGAACCTATCTATAAGTCTTAGAACTAAATCCTTAGACGGATTTTACTGGTGGTACTAAAACCATAAACTAACGCGATCGCACCGCAGCTTCGAACCGTTCAGGAAATTGATTAAAGATCCATGACCACGACCTACCTAGGCGCCGCCATTCCGTTAAGTTATTATCCTCATTTAATGTCTAATGGCCTTGCTTTATCGGCCGGGACAGCGTTTCACTTCTGCCGGGGCAGAAGCCACTACTTATATCTAGGTCAGGTGAATATCTTCCTCTCCTCCTAGCTCAATCTTATCTCAGATTATTCATATTGCTAGTAGGTCGCGATATCGTGGCTATGAGGAGCCAGTAACT